CTTATTTCAGCGCATAACTACGCCGCGGAAATTAACTATCTGCGGAAAACCGCGCAGCATCCTCGGAATCATCATTCCGAGCTGAATTCGAGGGCTCGAGAACGTACACGGGGGGTAAGGATCGTTATTCTGCATTCACTGGATTGCACTCATTACAAAGCATTGTAGGTACCTTGGCAAAAGCGCTACAATCTTCAAGAAATGAACAGAATTAAATCTTCACCCTCTAGTAACGATAACTTAATTACATAACATGGAGGCATCTTTGAAAATTATTTTTCTTCCCTATTAAATCAATATTATTAATTTACCGTAGCTCGTATAAGTGCACGGAGGGTGAGTTCGAAATTTTCCAACCACTGGATTGAATTCATTATAAAGCATCTTGGAGACTTCGGAAGAAATACCGCATCTTCAAAAAATAAATATAAGTACCGCTTCACCCTCCAAGCTCTCATACCTTTTGTACATAACCTGAAAATATCAGTAAAATCAATTTTTTTTTCACTGTTAATTAAACCATATAAATTTCTGTTGATTCGTGTATGTTGACGGAATGTAAGGATCGTTATTCTGCATTCAGTGGATTGCACTCATTACAAAGCATGAACAGAGAAAAATGAAAAGAATTAACTCTTCACCCTCTAATAACCATACACTGTTTACTTAACATGAAGATGTCTTTAAAAATAATGTTTCAGCCATAGTTATTCGTCGGGATTAATTAAATGGTATCAATTTCTTATGGCTCGTGTACCTGCACGGAGGGTAAAGATCGTTATTTTTTAATCACCGAATTGCACTGATTATAAAGCAACCTGGTAACCTCGAATGAAGCACCGCAATCCTCAAGAGATTAATATAATCAACTCATCACCCCCCCCAATAACCATGTCTAACTTAACATGAAGGTATGCATAAAAATGATTTTCCATCCGTGATAATTAAATCGTATCAATTTCTCAGAAATTTCGGAATTGAGATTTTCACTCGGTACGCATTTCCGAGTACATCTTCGGCAAATGTGGGAAATTAGATCAACTTTAAACTAGATCGTTATTTTTTAATCACCGAATTGCACTGATTATAAAGCACCCTGGTAACCTCGAATGAAGCATCGCAATCCTCAAGAGATTAATATAATCAACTCTTGAGTTATTCGCACTTCGTCCTTAGATTTCCATCCGTGATAATTAAATCGTATAAATTTCTCAGGAATTTCGGAATTAAGATTTTCACTCGGTACGCATTTCCGAGTACATCTTCGGGAAATGTGAGAGATTAGATAATCTTTCTGCCAATTTATATCCAGAGAGCAGAGTTAATACCGTTTATGTGCTGATTACACGACAAAGGATGCAGAGAATCAGATCTGGTTGTCGAAATTTCGGTATATACATCGTTGATAAGGGAAGAGATGATATCAGTATTCTGCATAAGGTCCTTTCGATGGGATCTACACCTAAGTCAGGACCCAGAAGACGCACTTCGTCCTTCATCATGCACCGAATTCCGTTTCACTGCATGAAGCATTGTCCAAATAGTTCCATACATTCCTCCCAGTCACTGATAGCCAACCGAAGAACCAATTCCATTGGTCCAATGAACCGTCAAGTTGCAATAGACTCGATCCCACAGGATCTCTGGAAGATCCGCGACTCCCGGGCCAAGAACCTCAATTTGATCCCACTTCCGGTGGAACTCGTCAAGATCTGGTCCTCCATCCGCCTTCCGTCATTTCCTCTCGATTGGATCTTCCCCGCCGCGATTTCCTGGGAGAATTCCGCGCATTCCTCCGTTCATTTCGCCTTCGGAACCTCGAAACGTACCAACATCCACCCTGATCAACGTTCCAAGGTTCTCACCTTGTGCAAGACCTAACGACCACCTCTCGGGTGTCTTAGATCTTCTCGACCTCCTCTCTTCTCACACCCCAACCCCTGAAGACCGATGAAGTTCGATCGGGTTTTATCCGAAGACAATGACGGTACTAATTCGTTCGCTCTTCATCACCCTCCAGTCATTAAACTGCGCTCTCGTAACCTGAACTAACTCTTCTCCGAGAGTAAACTCATCTAGTGGTTATCTATGCAAAGAATTCTCTTTTACAAGCCATTTCATTAAGGATATTTTTCAAACGGAAATAGAATCGTGGATTTCAACCTGGACGTTATTTCCCAACCAAGGATGTTAATTTATTTGCGAAAATATAGAAATGTGGAAAAATGTTTCACCTTGGTCTCGCCATTAAACTTCGCTCTTATGACCTAACCTAACTCTGCTCCGAGAGTAAATTATGAATCTGTACGGTATTTATTTATTAAAAATGGATATCCTTTTAAAATGCATTTTATTCGATAAAACACTTTTGAAGAACGCAAATGGAATCAAGTAGTTTGACCTGGACGTTAAATAAGGATGTTATTTTGTTTGCGAAAATATAGAAAAGTGGAAAAATGTTTCACCTTGGTCTCGCCATTAAACTTCGCTCTTATGACCTAACCTAACTCTGCTCCGAGAGTAAATTATGAATCTGTATGGCGTTTATTAATTAAAAAGGGATATCCTTAAAACATGCATTTTATTCGATAAAACACTTTTAAAGAACGCAAATGGAATCAGGTAGTTTGACTTAGACGTTAAACACTGATGTTATTTTATTTGCAAAAATATAGAAATGTGGAAAAATGTTTCACTTTGGTGTCGTCATTAAACTTTGCTCTTATGACCTAACCTAACTCTATTTCGAGAGTAAATTATGAATCTGAACGGTATTTATTTATTAAAAATGGATATCCTTTGAAAATGCATTTTATTTGGTAAAACTCTTTTGAAGAACGCAAATGGAATCAAGTATTTTGACCTGGACGTTAAACAAGGATGTTATTTTATTTCCGAAAATATAGAAAAGTGGAAAAATGTTTCACCTTGGTCTCGCCATTAAACTTCACTCTTATGACCTAACTCTGTTTCGAGAGTAAATTATGAATCTGAACGGTATTTATTTATTGAAAAAGAATATCCTTTGAAAATGCATTTTATTCAGTAAAACACTTTTGGAGAACGTAAATGGAATCAAACATTTTGACCTGGACATTAAACAACGATGTTATTATATTCGCGGAACTGTAGAAAGGTGGGGAATGTGTTTCCTGGTGTAATGCAATCCAATGATGCCGGATACAATGTTTCGCGTATGAGCTTTCGCAGCGATATCGAATCGAACATTAACATGCGGATAAAAATTCGGAATAAAAATATCGGGTCACGGAAAGGCCGAGAAAAATCCGTAAAAAATATACGAGATTTCGCGAATTAACCTCCGCGCATCGATCTGTGTGAACAAAACGTTTAACTTTGTATTGATGGTAAGCAGGACGTGTTCAAAATGGCGCGAATTATCCTGATCATTTAAATTGCTAATTTGGTCGAGTCACCCATTTTGCAGGATATTTATCCACTGAATCATCGACATCAAGGTACATTTTATTTTGCTAGAACTTATCTGCTTTAATTCTTGAGGAAATATACCAGAATTCTGAAAAATCTGAACCGGACATCTTATTAATGACGATTAATGGTTTATATTTAAAATAATTACTTTGCTACAATTTTCATTGAGCGTACACGTGATTCCCGAATTTTTCAAATGCGAATCCTGGAGTTTCTATTATTTCGGAAAAACGAGGCGAAGACAAAAATTTCTATCTCAAAAAATTTAAACCGGACATCTCATCATTAATAATGGATGATCTATATTTTAAATAATTACTTTGCTACAATTTTCGTTGAGCGTACACGCGATTCCCGAATTTTTCAAATGCGAATCCTGGAGTTTCCATTATTTAGGAAAAACGAGACGGAGACGCAAATTTCTTTCTCAAAAAATTTGAACTAGACATCTCATCGATAGTAATGGATGATCTATATTTTAAATAATTCCTTTGTTACAATTTTCATTGAGCGTACACGCGATTCCCGTATTTCTCAAATGCGAATCCGGGAATTTCCAATATTTCGGAAAAACGAGGTGGAGACATAAAATTCTTTCTCAAAAAATTTAAACCAGACATCTCATCGTTAATAATGGATGATCTATATTTTAAATAATTACTTTGTTACAATTTTCATTAAGCGTACACGCTATTCCGGAATTTTTCAAATACGAATCCTGGGATTTCCATTATTTCGGAAAAACGAGGCGAAGACGCAAATTTCTTTCTCAAAAAATTTAAACCAGACATCTCATCGATAGTAATGGATGATCTATATTTTAAATAATTCCTTTGTTACAATTTTCATTGAGCATACACGCGATTCCCGAATGTTTCAAATGCGAATCCTGGGATTTCCATTATTTCGGGAAAACGAGGCGGAGACGCCTCGTTTATTCCTCCTCCTCGGAAAGAAAAGACGACTTCTTTCTCGGTTACCGAGTTGCGGGATTGGAGACACCTCAACCGAGGCACGTTCGGCTGAGTACAATAAAAGTACACGCGGGGAAAGCAAGGATAAAGGGATAACCGAGTAACGGGGAGGGAGCAAAAGGAGCCAGAATTCCGTGTCGGGGACACGCAACAAGGGTGGTAACGAAGCTCGTAATTAAAGGAGCTTTCCTGGAGAACTGCCAGCTAATCCTGACCCTGAAATCCAACCGGAAGTTGTCTTTAACAGACCCCGAGATATTTCAACACCGACTTGATCGCTGAAAGAATCGGATTTAAAACATATTTTAATAAAATATTCTCTCGAAATCACCGCCATTTTCTAGCTTTACCATTATCGATCCAATCAAGAATTATGAACATCAACTTCCGGCTGCAAGAAATGATACTGAATTATACAGAACAATAAAAACTTATTTTTTCCGCTGAAAATACTTGCGAGTATTATTAGGTTTTTATTAACAATATCGCGATGGAAAGACGAGGAAAAAATGGATCGAGTTTTCTTTTTCTATTCTCGGTTCATAATGAAATTCAGGCAATTTTCTCTTTCAGTGATCGATTGTAGCGTTACTCAGTGGAGTACGTGGTCGGCTTGCGACAATCAATGTGGGGCAGGAATTCAAAGGAGGAGCCGCACTATTGTTGGTCCCGAGGAAAATGGCGGAAAACATTGTCCGCAAATCAAGCAGTCCAGAATATGTCAAGGCTTTGAAGGATGTCGACGCAGAAGTCATGCACACCGCTCTAAAGGTTTCCCTTTCACAAAACATTTACCTAATAACACCTTTTTTTGACATTCCCTTGCACAAAATCAATATAAATAGCAAAGACGATTATTTTCCGTAAAATATAAACTTCTATTCATGAAAAATCCAGCAAAACTTGTGAAGAAACTTCAACGCAAAGGATATATCCTTTACATCGAATGCAAATATCTCATACATACAACGCCCTACTCTATGAAAAATCCTTCGAAAATTATCCGTAGTAAATTGACAACACAATTAATTATTCTTCCGATGAAGCCATACCTGTAGAAATGATTAACACATTCGCGACCGGCAAATATTTTCCGTTTCAAATACTGAGTACCGGGGAAAATCATGAAATTCTGAAACTGGTTGCCGCAAACTTGTATCGTGTATCGCCATGAACGTGATTCACGTCAGCGGCAATCAGGAATAGAATTTAAAATGACGTGAATTCACGTCAGCGGCAACCAGGAATAGAATTTAAAATGACGTGAATTCACGTCAGCGGCAATCAGGAATAGAATTTAAAATGACGTGAATTCACGTCAGCGGCAATCAGGAATAGAACTTGAAAAAACGTGAATTCCGGTCAACGGTTACCAGAAAAAGAACTTTGAAAAGACGTGAATTCACGTCAACGTCAGTCTGGAAAAAGACGTGAATTCACGTCAACGTCAATCTGGAAAAAGACGTGAATTCACGTCAACATCAATCTGGAAAAAGACGTGAATTCACGTCAACATCAAAACTTGAAAGGACGTGAATTCACGTCAACGTCAAACCTTGAAAAGACGTGAATTCACGTCAACGTCAAACCTTTGGAAAGACGTGAATTCACGTCAACGTCAAACCTTGAAAAGACGTGAATTCACGTCAACGTCAACCTTGAAAAGACGTGAATTCACGTCAACGTCAAACCTCGAAAGACGTGCATTCACGTCAATGTCAAACCTTGAAAAGACGTGAATTCACGTCAATGTCAAACCTTGAAAAGACGTGAATTCACGTCAGCGGTCGCGAATGTGTTAAAAAACTTCAAAGCAAGAGGACAATATTTACATCGGACACAAATTTCTCGCAATGTCCCACTCGATAAGACATCCTGCGAAAATAATCCCGAGTAAATTTCCACGCACTGGATTAATTTCTTTTAAGAAGTCATCCTCGACAATTTTTGAAAGAAGTTGTTACATTCATTTTATAGAATAATTACACACGCATAATTACACAGGTTCAACATTTTTCAGACGCGGTTCTCCTGATGCCTGCGGAAAGTTTTCGCCCACACTCCGCGCGGAAACTCATTGAGGGGTAAGTATCGCACGCATGAGGTGCATGCATATCGAGTAGATGGAGTACTGGGGGTAAATTGAAAAGTACGAGATTCGTTAGTGAATCGAGGGACCCAACGGATGCAGAAAGTTAGGTTTACGGTGGGTACCCAATGTCATTAGCGCATACACCCAGTGATCGCGCTTGACGTTTCCTCGGAAACGCACTTCAGCCGCATAAACGATCTCACGCGTTTCTATGGGGCTATGAAGTGTATGTATGCACGTATGACTCCTGCGCATGCACGCGTCAACGTCCGGGAATTACGCGTACGCAACATGTGGTGACGAAAGTGCGAAGCTGTTTCCGCTATTATGCGGAAATTTCCGCCGCGTATCCATTTATCACGAGAGGTGTTGGGATTAGAAACGAGTTAAAGCAGCGTTAATTAACAGCGTTCGTTCCAAGACGCAGATGCGGACATCTTTCTTTTAGCCGAGTCTATATCTACCCGAGTAGTAATTAAATACTCCGAAAAACAATAGGAGCTATCTAGTTATAGTCATTAAAAAGCTTGTAACGTTTTCGTTAGCAATTAGAAACTCAAAGTAATTACTAGACAGGTGGTACATAGAAACTAAGGAAATATTACGTTTCACATGGTTCTCTCTAATTTCATTAGAGAATTGAGGAAGGTGAATTTAGGCAAGTATGTTATAGTAGTACGCTTATTATTTAGATATTGTTTAATATCACGCTGGATATTGTCTCATTTGAACCAGTTTTAACAGACAAAGCACTACGAAACGTTTATAGAAAAAAAAACGAGTCCCTACTACTTGGCCAACACACTCTGTATGTACCAAAATGAAAATACTCAAAGGTTTCCAACATTTATTTCTAAATTACATATCACTTTGAGTTTACGTTTCTGTACACTATCTACCGAACTTAACGCGGTCTGATGTGGTAATTGTGGTACACTCGTTAAGCCAGATCTCCTGTGTTTAAATAGTACATGCTTCTCGCAACAGAGCCGAATATACGCTGTAAGCTTCATGGCGTTGCTGATGCTGGTGCAGCATCCAACGTTGATACCATCCCAAACTGCTCCCAAGCAGGAAGCCACCACACAACAGCTTCCTCAGGGGTCATTGTCTATTGTTGCGTACCCAGGACTTAGGTTACCTTTTCGCCTGCAGGAAACAGCTGTATGCAGCAACAGCAGGAAGCTCTACTCGGCTGTTAGGGAGCAATGGCGGCGGGCACCTCTTGCCGAGGTCTCTTGCTAATCGGGGCATGTTCACCGACGCTGTATTCAGCCAAGTGCTAAAACCGAGGAAACAGCTTGAGACGGTCGGCAACTCGCGTTCTGCTTACCCTAGCAGTTGAGAAAATAAGATGGTTCCGTTCATCGTGTCCGATATTTCCAAAACAAGGCCGCTTTGTTGATTTTTCTTCCCCGGGGACATGCAATGAGTCCACTCGTCGCCCGTTTCCACGATCGGCAATACACAGATGTTGAATCTGCAAAAAAAAACGTACACAGTAATAGAGCCACCTCTCGAGAAATAAAAATTCCCCTGGTTTTCAAATCGCTGCTTATCGAAGGTCCTCTTTCTCCACCAGGCCATAATTCAGATCGCGTCAGTTCGAGTCAACATTGTGCGGAGACTAATAGGTACACGGAGAGCGCCGTAGTTCGCCAAGTTCCGCCAGGCGGCGCCACGTTTGCGTCCAGGGTTCGTGTCCTTTCCTCGTGGGGTCATCTCCATCATTCGCTTTTGCCCCCCTCTGACCCTCACGGCCCCGGGCTCGAGTATAAATCTGAATTTCCAAGCGCGACGTCAGTATTTTTCACCGGGTACTCACATAACCTAAACAAATGTATGCACCGCGTGTATAGACGCCGAGGAGCGACCTCCACCTGTCGGCGAAATTGCGAACCCTGTGCACTTTTGGTTACACGAGACTACAATCGTACCCAGATCCAGATATTTATATAAAGGGTGGTTATTGGCTCTTCATGGCGATTTTCATGGAAAATCTGTTTTTCAGAATCCGTGAAATATGATAAAGTATCGAGGAGTTAATATTCTCGTTACTAGAAAAAACTCTTCTTAGGGTTGCTTAAGAATATTATACTCCTTTGCGTTACGTGCTTCTCCCTGATTGGTTGTAAGCGAATTCCGGAAATGAGTTCCTCGTCGTGGCGGCCATTCTTTTCCGGTTTCAAATCACGTACCGTCAATCAACGTCCCGCACTTCGTTAGGAACCGCACGTATAGAATTCGACTTAAACGTTACGTCCTCCTCGTGGGAAACGTACGTTAGCAAATTCTCCTCCTCGGGATAGGTAAAGCTACCCCCGAGGCGCGGAAATTCTTCAACGTTTTCAAGAGAAACCATTAAAATAATGAGATCGAACGCTCTCGACGCGTGTTCCCGTCCGCCGCCATTTTTCACCGGAATATCTTCGTGGCCACGAAGTTTTCGCGGCCTCGTGCGAAATTTATACCCACACTGTAAATCAATCGGAGGCTCCCCTACCTCCTGAATCGAAGGGTGCGGATTCTCTCTTCTATTTCCCCCGAAAATTATTTATCGACTGCCGGTCATCCTCCGTCACTACGGGGACCAAATAATCCAGAATTTTGTCACCGACCGCGCGCACCGGAAATAAAAGCTGTCCGCGCATCAAGCTTATCCATTACATCCGGCACCTCGTATTGCGTTTATACCATCTGCGTGGTAAAATATAAGGCTCGTAGACCTAAAAAACAGGTTTTTTTTAGAAATTCACCCGAGTGGGAATTTTAGCCCCTCTTTTAACCAAAGTAAGCGTCTTTTCATACGATTTCACTCTTCAGCTCCTAATTTCAACCTTGTACATCTTACTTAACACATTCGCGAGCGGCAAATTTTTTCCGTTTTCAAATACTGAGTACCGGCGAAAATAATGAAATTCTCAAACTGGTTGCCGCAAACTTGTATCGTGTATCGTTATGGACGTGATTCACGTCAGCGGCGATCAGGAATAGAATTTAAGATGACGTTAATTCACGTCAGCGGCAAACAGGAATAGAACTTGAAACAACGTGAATTCACGTCAGCGGTTACCAGAAATAGAACTTTGAAAAGACGTGAATTTATGTCAACGTCAATCTGGAGAAAGACGTGAATTCACGTCAACGTCCATCTGGAAAAAGACGTGAATTCACGTCAACGTCAATCTGGAGAAAGACGTGAATTCACGTCAACGTCAAAACTTGAAAAGACGTGAATTCACGTCAACGTCAACCTTGAAAAGACGTGAATTCACGTCAACGTCAAACCTCAAAAAGACGTGAATTTACGTCAACGTCAAACCTCGAAAGACGTGAATTCACGTCAGCGGTCGCGAATGTGTTAATATCGACGAAGTCCTACTTTATGTCTAGAAGCAGAAGATATGGAAATATCCGCCACTGTTTTAGGTTAAAAAAAGGACCACAAAAATGAAAGTATATTGTCTAGAAACCCATCTAACACGTACACAAAATCAAAATTTCGACTCGAGTATGACTCGGAACAATGAAGCTTAATATTTCCTTCCGTAATCATGCTATCGTCCTCAAATTATAAATCTTGGAAACATTTTAGTACATAAGTATATGTCATATAGACGTTGAAAATATGTAGAACGTTCCCTAGTTTTCGAAATTAATTTCAATGACTCTTCAAGTACTTTGAAGGAGTTTTAAGGACTTTTCAGTGCGCCACCTGATGTTAACTTCTTTGGAATTTCTGTCGTAGAGACTTATTGCAAGTCATTAGGCTGTTTAAAGACATTACTTCTGCAGATGCTTCCAGAAAGTTCCGAGGAATGGCCGACGTGAAACGTTCTTTATTATTTACTGCGACTGTTCGGCATGTTCGGTTCTGCATGAACCCGCCATTTAAATTCGAGTACATGGAGCACGTAAGCTTCCTTCGATCTCTCGAATGTGCTCCTTGAGATTCTCATTGAGATACCCTTTATCGTGCACGTTAACGGTCTGCCGAGTTTTCACGTGTCGGTCGTTTGCGGATTATTTACGCCGGGAGCACTTAATGTCGCACTCTGAAAATCGACTTGCTCGTTGCACGCGTGGCTGCACCACGCTAAAGCTGATTAACGGCGTGAAAATCACCGCTGAATATCAGGAATTCTGTTCTAAAGTTCCTGAATGAGAAAAGGATCGATCCTCTTCAACGACATAGCCGTTATACATAAATGTAAAAATCTACGGATGTATAAAAAAGGTGACTGACTGACTAACTGACTAATAATCGTCCAGCCGAAACTGTTAAGCCAAGAAATGTGATATCTGGAGGGTATATTCCTTTCGTAACATAGGTTCTCACTAAGACGGAAATTTTCGAAATTCAGCCCATAACAAAAATGAACAGAGGTAAAATGTGTCTTTGCAAATTTCTTAATATCATCGAAGCCCGCTGAGATATTCACTTTGTTTCTACTTAATAGGAGTATGCGTATAAATACCTAAAAACAAATTTCAGGATGTTCCCTAACCAACCCCAAAGTGGGGTTGCATATAAAAATTTATTAAGTGACATACATTTATAAATTTCAAATTCTCCATTGACATATCGCGAAAGAAACCGCGACGAGGATGGTAGTATATAAATATGTGACAAGAAAAAGTGGAAAATTAATGTTTTTAATTCATCAAGAGCGCATTCTTCATTTATAAAACACAATATTTGCATTGCGCGAAGGTGACATAATTTCGAGACGTACAACGGACTAGATTAATCCCAGTGGCATGTTTCAATTGCTGAAATGTCTGCAAACATGGCAACCGTGAAACGTAGTCAGAGGACCACCATGGCGTCCGAGCAGGGACAAGCCAAAATACCTACGGCATTACCTCCACCTAATCAATCTAATCATATTAGATTACCTTGGCATGACTCACAACCTAGAATAACAATTAACTCAGCATACCATTCACCATAATCTCCATTTTCCTGCATTTCCCAGGTACTCTGCGGAATTCACCATTACTTACGGCAATACATCCACCTAATCAATCTAATCATATTAGATTACCTTGGCATGACTCACAACCTAGAATAACAATTAACTCAGCATACTATTAACCATAATCTCAATTTTCCTGCATTTCCCAGGTACTCTGCGGAATTCACTATTTTGCGAGCGTCCAAGGCCTGTAAAGATCATCTGATATTAACCGAGGGTAAGTCATGGAGTCATTTGAAATCGTCAATAAAATTGTACAATGGCTCACCCAACGTTCATTTCGCCGATGCGAAAAGGGGAAAATTACTTAGGAGGTTGTTTTATCTTAATTACCTACCTACTACAGTGTATCGAGGTACTTCCTTATCATACTTTCTTATTTGAAGCCAAACTATCCTTCTTGAATATCTTCTCTTTGGTACCATCCATTGAAGCGCCGCTGCAACTAATTACGCCTCTGTGCAATTTAATCTCGTTTATGCAACTTCTAGAAGTACCGCGTTGACTACGCGTGCGCTCGATCGTATCGTCTTGTAAACTTCCGACCAGAACGATTATTACCTTAAACGAGTTCCGTTTCTTTGCGCTAACCTCACTTGTCGCGACTCGCCGTCGCACATTTGCATTTCTATCGAGAAAATTACCTAAAGGTTGCCAGAAAAACGTAATAATTAGCTTTTTACAAGAACAAGACACATAATTGCTATTGTTCACTTATCTTTTTAACTAATCGAAAGGTTTGGTACGTGCAGTTAACCTGTTCGAGCGTGGCCACGTTATAACGAATACAACGCCGCCATCTTGGAAATAAAAAGGGGCTTTGGGTGGAGGTTTATAATAGCGATCGTAATTGTAGTTATCGATGCATAGATATCCCCTGCTATATTCTTCCCGGCTTCGCAATATACGTTAAATTTTATTATTCTTGATCGTTTCCCAATACTGCCCCGGCTAATGGCGAAAGATAGTTATAAACCGTGCAACAAGGTGCACGTGGGCGGGAACTAAAATTTCGAATCGGAGGATTGAACGCTTTAATTCATTTGTTTAGGCTCCCACGTGTGTGTGCAATGTGGGCATGAAGCAGTTACGTCACAATGCGAAGACCAGCTGAACCCCGGGAAATTTGAAATAGGAAGATGGCGTCTCTTGACATCCGTGCAAGCCCATTGTCACGGAAAATGGCTGTCAACTGAAAAAATGGCCAACGACAGCAGGTCGGCAGCTTGTCAAAACGGCACCGATTTTGTGATAGCTTAGTACTGGAGATGAATTATCTATTGAAATTCCTCGATAAGAAATAAACAAGAACGAGGGATGCAGAAAAGTATCTCTGATACGAATCCGCGTCGGCGAGGTTTCGATTTCCGCCGATGGCTACTCGATCATTCCATTATTTCCCACGGAAAGACAATTGCTGATTCCAATATTGCTTGTCAATTGCTCTCTGGCGTTTCTGTGGTTGTAAATACGCGAACGAACCTATCAACAAGTTGATCGAATTAGGTTATCCCGATGCAACAGTTGCTTGTTCGTCCTGATCGATTGTACATATAACATATGAATATACGAATATATAAAACAATACTGGTGTGATAAAACGTAAATATTCACAATGTACGTACATTAAGCGGTCTCTGTGCGGCGACATGCGTATGTTTAGATACCACCAGAAGTATGGATACAGGATTAAGTAAAGCATCTTTTCGTCGATGGTCACCGCCATCTTGGAGAACGTCACTGCGTATCGGTATCAAAGAGGAAAACAGAAAACATTCTCCTTTGAGACTATCATGTCGACCGCAAACATATCAGTACTGACAATGCCTTGTGTGCTGAGGTTGCTATTAGTCAATAAAGAGCACGCACCAGTACGTATACATTTATGTACCACATACGCGCACATTCAATGCCTATATACCCATTTCCTTGTCAGAAGATACCTTACCCAGGAAGTGATTACTTCGTATCTTAGGTATCACATCCTCGGTATCAACAATTCTATTCTAACCACTCTTAACGAGTCAAGCGCCAAGGTAACCAGACTTGTATTTATGTTTACGTTCAATGCTTATATAGTTACATCATGTTTATGTCGTTCGTCACTTACAACCCACTGGACAGAATGGAATATAGACTACTATATCACGACGGAAAAATGTCAAGCAACCCAAGCGAAGTGAAATATTAAAAATTGCACATCTCGGTATTAAATGTACCAATCGGTTTCGTTCATAGCTGAAAAAAAACAACGCAAAAAAAATAGTCCAATCTCGATAACCTGGTTAAAGTTGAGATTACTCATTCCAAAAATTCAGCAAACGACATTCTCTGTCCAGTTTGACACATCGGGCTAAACATCCCGGATAATTTTAAAAAGTGGTGAAATCTAATCATTTTTTGCTTTACATATGTTTGATGTTTTTTCAGTACCGGAATAAGGAAGCGATTTTAAGGGTCCAGTTTATTTTATAAGCGCGATTTATAATCTCAACTTTTGTTTAACGTCTTTCCCAGATAATTTCTCACAGTTAATCAGCAGAAAGCGTGTAGCGATTATCTGTACACGAACACGCGAGTGGTTGTACATCACGTCACTGTCAGAATACAGCTTGTCTAGGGACCAACGGAGAATCGACCCTTCCTTGGTACCAAAGCCGGCATCGCCAACGCCTCCATTCCCGTAATTTCAACATGGTCGCCACCACACCGGGGATTTGCCAGCCACGATGTTCGATATCTCGACAAATTTACGATACCCGGGTGTGTCGACCCCCGCCGCTTCTCTTTCCGTCCTGCGAGTCCGCCGGCCAATTTCCTCTATTGCTTGCTTCCCGGCCACTTCGAGAAAAGGCCAAACACAATCGAGTCATTGTTCCTGCAATCGGCATTCAATCCATTTTCCCGAAAATCCCAATCCCGGAAATGAGCGGTTCTTTTTTTGGAAAGTGGTATAAGTCCACTTTTGGGGAAGAAAATGAGTTACTGGTAATTTTAGTAAGTTATAAATATCCTCTTTTTATATTTATAATCATACATTCAATGGAGCACGATTTCTTGATAAAGTAATCAAAAGGATTTTTACTATAAAATGTTATCCCAAAAATATTTTTTTGGAATGTCGAATAGGTCCATTTGGAGCTAAATAATCGTTTATTTTCTTTAACAATTTTAATAAGTGTTATTGCGTAATAAAATTTAACGGGTTTATAGGGTTAAGGACATCACCCGAATCGATTAACGTTTGCCAATATTTTTAAATTAATTCAATCGCAAACCCTTAGATATCTCGATGTATGAATAAATGGACTTATACCACTTTTAAAAATAACCGCACAAATGTTACATTTCGGAATATATATAACATTTGCTATAATCCACAACAAGAGCAGAAAAACAATATGGCCGCCGCATAGATGCGGCACGGAAATGTAAGTATTATCATATAGATTTAAAATAACATATTCACGTGAAATTCTCAATTTAAAAAAGAATTGGAATTAAAATGCCCCGTGGAATGAATTTTTCTTGACATAGAAACTATTCTTATACGTAGAATATACGTGGAGAGTTACTTAACGTCTGAGGGAAGGCTTCTTTTCAAGAGACCTAGAATTAAGCAGCTAGCGAAATATTCGGTGGCGTTGCTATACTTCCCTTTGCAAAATTGTAAAAAGCTAAAAGACACGTTTTTGAACAATTTAGCTTGCGAGAGTGGCGCATGATGGATTGACGTGAAATTTCGAATCGCCCCAAGTAATTCGAGCGAATAGCCGGTGTGCATTGTTCCGGAAACGGATGGACAGACAACCGGCCAAGCCTCTAATGCTTTAAACGGATCGGGTCCTTTTGTTTTTGAGCAATCGCCGGAATTGCTCGTCGGAAGGATGAAAGCCACCGCCATTTCATGGGGACGGATGAAAAGCTGGATTTTCAAGGGTTGGCCACGGTTTTTCGACGCCCTTTCGTCAAATCGCGTCGCCATAAGTACATCGACCACTGAATGAATTCCCCGAAATTCCGTAGTCCGATTTTTCGAGCGACGTTCCCTCCACGTACCATTTTCAAAGCGTGGAAATTACTAATACACCATTGATCCTTCAAAAATTCAAATCTGAATACAAGATTCTACTCTTCATATTCGGCGCGCACGAAATGATCAGCATTTATCAGCAAATCTGTTTTGGCAATTCCATGAACACCGCCAAAATGAAATAAATGTCAAAAGACAGTGTGCTTTTTTCTGTTTTATCGGGGGTCCACGCGAACAAGGACTTTTACCCTTTTGCGTCTAATTACATAAACGGAATGCGGCGTAGGATCGTAATTGCAAATGGCGGCCGTACAATAATTCTGCCGGCCGCTTTTAAGCTCACAGTAAATTGTTAAAAGCCACGGTACGATCGCTCTAAAAACCCCGGCCGGAAAAAGAACGGATTTCCGCATACGTTTTGCTCTAAACTTCGCTGGACCAACGTTGATCCTTTTTCTCCCTTCCCCTTTGCTCATTTTATCCATTGATTCTCCCTCTCTCGGGTCGAACTTTTACCTCACGTGCAATACCAATCCGTCAAGCCTTAAGTCTGCCGGAATTCGATTTGGCTTTCGAATTTCGTGCTATCCCCGTCGACCTCAGCGAAAGGTATTAACCTGGCCCTTCCCGAAAGCCCAGTAATATGGGGATGGCTACCATAAAAGTATATCGCGACTGTTAAGCCCCTTTGTCCATTCCATTTTACAAAAGCTACAATTTTTCAGGATCTGGGTCAATTTTTTTCCCCTTTTTATTTCGCTCGATACCACCTTCTCAAAAGTATTTTCAATCATTCAATTTTGCTGCCTCTGTTCTTAAATGTCATGGTAGTAATCGTAATTCGAAGCTACTGTAACCGGATTGTAATTTTTTTGAACTGTAGAAATGAGATATAAAGGGAAGTTTAATATAGCCCTGTAATTTTTTTAAACCGTAGAAATGAGATATAAAGGGAAGTTTAATATAGCCCTGCCCGAAAGTCCATTTATATGGGGATGGCTACCATAAAAGTATATCGCGACTGTTAAGCCCCTTTGTCGATTCCATTTTACAAAAGTTACAATTTTTTATGATCTGGGTCAATTTTATTCTCCTTTTTATTTCGCTCGATTCCACTTTTTCAAAAGTATTTTCAATCATTCAATTTGCTGCCTCTGTTCTTCAATGTCATGATATTAATCGTAAGTCCAATAATATATATTTAACCAAAAATCCAATAATATGAGGATGACTACCATAAAAGTATATCGCGACCGTTAAGCCCTTTTGTCGATTCCATTTTACAAAAGTTACAATTTTTTAGGATCTGGGTCAATTTTATTCTCCTTTTTATTTCGCTCGATTCCACTTTTTCAAAAGTATTTTCAATCATTCAATTTTGCTGCCTCCGTCCTTCAGTGTCATGGTATTAATCGTAATTAAAAGCCACTGTAACAGGACTGTAATTTGTTAAAGCTGTAGAAATGAGATATAAAAGGGAAGCTTGACATATCATTTATGCAAATGTAATGATACTTCCGCATCTCATCGTCGGAATATCGTTAGTAGTTAGGAATTTCGTTTCATGGATTACTATCTGCTGGAACGGCAGTTGCAAAGAGAAGGTTGACACGTCGTTTATGCAAGTGCAACGTTTGCATACTTGTAAGCAGTCGGGTAGAAACATCCACAAACATGCGCATGCATATATGAATTTACTTGCAGTCTCCACATGGAAATATACGAATGCATCAGGATATACATGTACGTGGGAGTGCGTTTAACAATGATCATTTATACATGAATGTATATGTATATGTATAAGTCGGCATATACGCATCCGTGAATATCGCAGAAACGAGCAATCATTGTACGTTTGTATTAAAAGCGGTATCCAGTGATACGGATTAAACCGCCCTAAATAGCAGGAAATTTATTTTGAAAAAATTCTTACGTCTTCTAACCGATGAAAAAGCGCGTGAAAGAGAATCTGGATATTTGTGCCAAAACGCAATCGAGTTCTGCATCCGACCGTGCGAAAGCTTGCAGAAAAGTTCCTCGCCAAGTTGGAGAAGTTCCATTTAACTTTGCAGTATGCGTGTAGCTATTTATGAGAAAGTTCTATCACCCCTGAGAAAACTTGTTATTCTTCCGATACGTTAACTTTTGCGTAAAAGGATTTATTTTTGCCGCACATGTACCACCCAACGCGACGCCAGGATCCATTGTGAACAGACCTGTACATTTCCGTGGATGGATTAAACCGAAAGTTTGAAGATACGAATTTCCTTTATTTTTTTAGAACCGCCTCAAATGTCAAAACTTATCTTAGAGATTTTGCGGCACTCTGGTACATATATCTGGCATTCCAATCGTCCTTACTATTAGTAACGTGTAATAAAGAGTAATTAAAAATGTCGTACAATTGACATCCAAGGCAACGTAACTAAAAACCATAGTGAAATTTTGTATTACCTTCAAATTTGTATCAGTGAATGCCAACAATATTTGTATACTATGTATTGTTGCCTCTCTAAAATAAAGTTATAAAAAAGCGTGTTTCTCACGTGTTTACATAAAAATGTGCTTTTAAAATCTACACCGTAACTCTCTGGAACTTACTGGGAGGTAAATCCTAATTAGAAACGTGCAATAAACAGTAAAAATATTCAAATTTACATTCAATGCTACAAACATAAAAACAAGTTAAATTTTGTGCATCTATCATATGAAAAAGTGTCAAATTTTCTGCATATTTGTATCCATGTGTATTATTGCCCCCTGTAAAATAAAGTTATAAAAAAGCGTGTTTCTCGCGCGTTTACATAAAAATGTGCCTTTAAAATCTACACCGTAACTCGCTGGAACATACTAGGAGGTAAATCCCAATTAGAAACGAGTAATAAACAGTAAAAATGTCCAAATTTACATTCATGGCTACAAACATTAAAAAAACATGTTAAATTTTGTTAACCTTCAAATTTCTATCAATATATAATATGACAAAGACATTTTTCACTCTGCGTGTTATCGTCATCTTTAAAATGAGGTTGCAAGACAGCGTATTTTTTATGGATTTACATGAGGATGCACCTTTAAGATCTGCACGGTACCTCACTAGAGCTCACTAGGAGGTCTTCTCCAGCATCCACGAGAGCTTTATTTTCCAGTGATTCGAGATATCCGAAGATACAATGGAAACATAGAGCGGCCGAATGTCGATACAATAACGCGCGGTCGCATCGCGTGCACCTCGGGATGATGATGCGACGTTCTCTCGATCGGATATGGTGGAAATTGGTGATCTTACAGAAATCAACCTGATCCTCTTCCAGTAACTCTTCGAAACAGTCAGGACAGTACCGATCCCTAGTTCCACGCACGTACATCGCGTTGGCCCCAAGAGGTTGTCGAACGCAATACGCAGCTAATAATCCACCATAAGTTTCTTCATGCTTATTTGGAAGTACCCCATCCAAAATTCCTGTCTGGTTCGGTACCTCTCTGGGCAAGATGGCGATTGGAATTGGCATGTTCAAAAATCTGGATGTGGCGTCACGTCCGGCACGTCAACCCTTAGCTAAAAATGTAGAACAAATGACGAAACACAAAAACCGTGGGAAGAAACAAGAATTTTCTACACTGGGCAAGAATTGCTTACATTTCTTGTTTTCTTCATATATAATGTAGGATGTCCCAGAAATAGTGACAGTTCCTGAAACTGGGGGAAGTTGGTGAAATCTAAAGTCGACATTTCGTTTTTCACTTTTTTTTTCAGGTGATTATTTACCGAAGCTTTAATTATTTAATCTTGGCCTACCTCGAGGGATTATAATGAATTACCTATATATTTTTAGTTCGTTGTTAAATGAATTACTTGTGATTGAAGGGAGCAATTAAAATTTATTTAATACGCGCACGATGAAATTTCGGAGTAGAAAAATAGACGACTGGAGGACTAAACTTGAAGACTTGGAGATCTTCGAAACAACTGGAAGAATTTTGTACAGGGCCCGGATTTATCCGAAGGAAGTCGCCACCTCCACTGCTAAATGTCGCCAAATCAGAGCGAAAGTCATCCAGTGGTAAATTTAAAAACTAGAGGTCATTTAAGATATGATAAGAATAAAAATATATGAATTTAATAAAAATGCAGTACCTACTATTCGTAATTATCAGGTAACCGTAATAATCGTACAATTTGAATGAAATAGTCAGACATTAGGAAAATCGTTTGCAGGTTAAAGGGATAAATTAAAATAGCACCGTTGATCATCCTACATGGAATCGGATCCATTGCTCAATTATCGAACATCGATGCGGCGAGTAAATCGAATCGAATCAATCATCGTCGATCTGAAAATCGTTTTGTTTACTGACAACGTAATTTGGATGACGCATTGCCCAGAAATGGCTGAGATTGATCGATTACTGCCATTACTTAGCCTATCGGATGCTCACTCCGTAATCGATAGTATGTTTTTTTTTATCTTCCATATCAATTTATTTCCAGACACGCTGATGTTTACATTTCATCATTAGCATTATTTCCCGAAAAGAAATAAACACGTGGACGGGACAATGCTCCGACCACAAGTGATAAAGAGACGCCACGAAATAATCTCCAAATTATTTCAAACGATTCACTGACACTTTCTGTGGTTTTCCGAAAAACAGGAAGAAAGCGGCTCAGGAAAGGCTTTGTGGCGATGTTTTCAATCTGCTTCCAGGGTTATCGAAAAACCGCCGCATCCTGCGCGACTTATATAAAATGAAAGGATGACTCTAAACCTCTTACCAGATCTCTTCGTTCGCTCCCAGGGTTCAATACGAGCCCTTTCGCCGACACATCTTCGTTTTACGATCTCTGGAAGGAGTTTTAACCATTTCTTCCCCTTTGAACGGCGCGAAATCTTCTGGAGATCAGTTCAAGATGGCCGCCCAAAACTCTGGAATCCTCTACTTATTCGATCGTCCTGCGGAGCCGGTTTACGTGCCAAAAGGTGACAAAAAGGTCGCCTTTGACATCCCATCGAACTACTTGGTAAGTTTCCCAATTTGTATTCCATTCTTTTTGTGAAAAATAAACACATCAAGCATCATTTCGATTATGTTTGATCGACGGTCATTTTTCCGTTCAGACCGCGTCGATCATGAATAGGGACGATATAACCACTGAAAACATAGCAAAAATAGATAAATTCGTAACGTGTACAAATATCCCAGTTACCGCGACGCCTAAAGTAGTAGTAGTAGATAGTACACTTTATCAAATATTCTGTAAAAATCCTGGAATGTTGCAAAAATTCGTTAAATATTCTATCAAAGGCAATTTTGCTGAAGGAGTCGCTGATCCCTCTTGGTCATTTTTGCTTATTATTTATGTTACTGACCTTTCTCTAAGCAGAAATAAAAGGAGAAATACTCCGACGTTCAAAATATTAATTATTCTCCTCTTCATGATTCGAAAATTCGATGGTTAATAATAGCTATATAATTTCAATCTGAAATAATTCTTTTCTCCAGCCTGAGAGATACAAATCCGTCGCCGTACAAGTTCTGAACCGCTTCAATGATGACACGGATTCGAAAATACCCGTCAAACAAATCAGTCTTCCCGATTTGAGTATTCCGATGCAATTGGGTCGTCGGGATCCATTTTCTCTGTTCATCCCGAAACATCGAAAACTGGCTGCAAGACTCATCGACATTTTCATGGGTTTGTTCTTGATGATTACTATAAAAACTGATTTAAAGTGTTCTTCATGACATAAGCCGATATTTCTGTACCATGAAAACATTTTCTTTTTTTTTCCCTTCATCAGGCATGAGGACCTACGAGGACTTTCTTTCCGTCTCCGTTTATTGTCGCGATCGTCTAAACCCGAACATGTTTATTTACGCCCTCTCTGTGGCGATTCTTCATCGTCCTGACACGAAGAATTTGCCGATTCCTCCTCTTTCCGAGGTATTTCCGGATAAATACGTGGACAGCGGGATCTTCTCCAGAGCTAAGGAAGAGGCTAATATCGTCCCGACAGGATCCAGAGTACGTATGGCACAAAATAAAATAGAAAAATCGCGTGCGAATTTGATGAACCTTAGAAAATCACTTAGGAGACTACAAGGAGTTGACTAAATATCCTGGAAATATTTTCCTCAACTTCTTCAAGAAGTACTTGAAGAGTGAATAGATATTTCATTACTCGGTCGATGTTGAAGACGTCTCGATGCGGACGTTTTCCGAGGTTCTCTCGGCTTTCAATTTTTCCTGCTCCTTAATTGGCACATCCTTTCTTCATCAGCAACCAATCGAGATTCCTCGAGACTACACGGCTTCCGATCTTGACGAGGAGCACCGAGTTGCTTATTGGAGAGAGGATATTGGCATCAATCTTCATCATTGGCACTGGCATCTCGTCTATCCTTTCGAGACTGACTTCAGGATCGTTAATAAGGACAGGCGTGGAGAACTCTTCTACTACATGCATCAACAAATCATAGCGAGGTACCGATTACTTTCCGAGGATTAATTTCATTTAATACCAATCAAAGGACAACATCGATACCCAGAGAAAACCAATTCGCAGTTACAAGAAGAAATTTGACTTGCTAAAACAAATGTGTACTATTGAAAATTACTTTCATGGGACAATAGAAATTCTATCCATAGTTGCGATATTTCTTTCGGTTGTTGCAACTAATTCCATTTCCTAATCTAGCAAGTATTCCTTCTAAAGAGAGCTTTCGAATGGTTATATCTACTCTTCGACACCATTGCAAATATTTTTCTTGTTGGCGTGATTATTCCTGCAGGAAGAGCGAATCCTTGTTAGCAATTATGTCCCTTCCTAAAAGTTCAATTGTCTTTTTTTTTCCGTGTAGGTACAACTGCGAGCGTATGTGCAATTACCTTGGCCGCGTGAAGAGGTTCATCAATTGGCGGGAACCAATTCCCGAAGGATATTTCCCAAAGCTGGACTCTTTGGTGGCGAGTAGATCCTGGCCAGCTCGATCCAGTGGAGCCACCCTAAAAGACATCAATCGACCCGTCGATCAGCTCCTTTTCGACCTCCAGGACCTGGAAAGGTGGAGGGATCGGATCTACGAGGCCATTCATACAGGATCCGTAATTAACTCCAGGGGAGAAAGAGTCCCACTGACCGAAAAGTCAGGCATCGACATCCTTGGCAACATCATGGAGTCCAGCATCCTTTCCATCAACCCCAACGTCTATGGAGATTTGCATAATCTTGGCCACGTGGCCATTTCCTACTGCCACGACCCCGACCACCGATATTTGGTATATCCTGCAATTCCCCGTTTCTTTAATTGCGTACAATTTCCCGGGTATTATATCGCAACGTTAATTCAATATTCGCTAATGCACTCGAACGAGAAATAATATATTAATCCGGTCACCCCGTTTACTCGGCCCACATTTATTTAACATGCCAGGTAATTAATGCGGTTTAATAATTCATACTTTGATGGGTTTCTATGGTCGCGATTATTAATTGCTGTTTTAGCTGCGCGGAGTATTTCATCGACGGTCATGTTCGGTCGATTATTAATCCTACATTTCTCTAACTAAACTGCTCCTGTCGATGTATCTATAATTCACAATTAATTCCGTGTTACAATGGGTAACTGATACGATCTCTCCCCTGATTACGCGTTTCGAAGTTTACAATGGTTCCGGCAGATATGAAACTTAAGCTCTTAGCTTTATTCAAGAATTATTTTCAACTGAGGTTTAATTAATTAATTTCAGGAATCATTCAGCATCATGGGTGACTCTGCCACCGCCATGAGAGACCCCATCTTCTACAGATGGCATGCATTCGTGGATGACGTTTTCCAGGAGTACAAGAACACCTTGCAGGAATATACCGTCGATCAGGTAAAAATTAGGAACAAATTACAATCTTTATGTTAGGTTTAAAGTGTACTCCAGTCGCCATTGTCGTCACTGCATATTTGAACTGCGTTACTCTGCATGTTTTATTCCCCTGCCTCATAGGATCCCGCACGTGAACATTTTCCGCCGGTTTCTAATTCTATCTTCTTTCTAACTCGTCCGGAAGTAAATAGTTTTATGATTCGATATTATTACTCGATTTCAGCTCAATTTCCCTGGAGTGGAAATCTCGGGCGTCCAGGTGGCCACGCCGAACCAGGCACCAAACTCTTTGCACACCTTCTGGACCCAAAGCGACCTCGACATGTCAAGAGGTCTCGATTTCACCCCGAGAGGTCCAGTCCTCGCAAGATTCACGCACCTGAATCACGCGGAATTCTCATACAGAATCACTGCGATTAATCGGAATAACTCACCGAGAACGGGAACGGTGCGCATCTTCATAGCGCCGAAACGAGACGAGCGTGGACTGTCCTTCAATTTCCTGACCCAGAAAAATCTAATGATCGAAATGGACAAATTCACCGTGGCACGTGAGTATATTTCCTCCCCATTTTATGCCGTATAATTAAATCTGCCCAGATTTCGAAAAATTACACGGCACGCGGCTCGCCCATTCCCGGGGAGGTCATTTCCAATTATTTTTTTCATGCCGGTAATTTCGCTCCCACGTAATAAAAAAAAATCGCTGATGCATTCCCACTTCCGTTACATATCGCAGCTCCTGGCCTCTGGGATCTCTGGTGTTCATTTTCATTCCCATTACGGCATAATGTGCCCGGGATGAAATATTTCTTTTTTTTACTTCCATCCAATTTCGTTTCGTGTTTCCGACCTGAGTGAAGAATATCCGAGGGTGGTGGGTGTTATCGATATGTCGGATGGTCATCCTAAAATTTCGGAAAAGGGGTATTAGATATGTTAATTAATTTTTATTCCGTTTATAGGAGTTTAATACAAATGAAATATAGATGGGAGGGGAAATGTCGATGCTTTGGAAGTATCCTCTTGAAAATTCATCTCTTTTACGTGCCGCTTCGTTTGCAGTCAGACCTGGACAAAACGTCATCGAGCGAAAATCGACAGAATCCTCGCTAACGATCCCATTCGAGCGGACTTTCCGCAATCTTGATGCAAATCGTCCGATTGGGGGCGACGCTTTGGAGCAGTTTAATTTCTGCGGATGTGGATGGCCGCAACACATGCTTCTTCCCAAAGGAAACAAAGAAGCGTTCCCTATGGATCTCTTCGTCATGATCTCCGATTATCAGGACGACGCGGTAAGTTTCAATTTTCCTAATTTCTACCCTGAAAGAAAAATAATTCATCTAACCAAAGAAATATTTGAATTAATTCTAAGCACAATTATTTGTCTGAAATAATTACAAATGAATTGTCATCATTCCAAAGAAACATTGCATCCAATTTATTCGAGTTTGAGCGAAATGAATTAACAAAATACTTTTTTGGTACCGTTCAAAGAAATATCTCTTTGGTTCCATGAATTTCTTATCTCAGGGTAAAATTGCCTCAGAAATTAATTTATAACAAAACATAAATTGTCCCATCACAACTATGATTATCTCCGACCTTAAATACGAAGACTTTAATACAGAAAAATTCTTAAGAAATGTAGGAAAGACCAAATGTTCATTTTTATCGATACTTCACGACGAATAAGAGAAATGACATCGACTCGGAGGTATGATCTCATTTAGATGAAAGGGATGTGTTTCCAATTAATGCGCCTTTCCAGGAGCACGTTGTTCCATGGTCTAGAGTATGCCACGTCGCTGTGCATATTGATCACGATAGAATTATCGTCCAGAATGATAATGGACGGCTTTTGAAGGGAAATTACATGTTCGGTGCATTAATTAAATCATCGTTACTCCTGAAATTTCCACACATCTACAGAAATAATTAGAGGAGCCCGAAAGTGCAGTCGCGTCCGTGTATGCATCTAAGAAAGACACTAATGAGATGCACCCCGTAGCTTAAAAACTGCACCCGAGAATTAATACACACTAAGAAAAAAGAAAAAAAGAATTCATTGAATCAAAGAAATATACTGTTAATTCAAAGAATTATTATTTCCCTCAAATAACTTGAAATAAATTGTCCTAATTCGGAAGAAACGTTGGGTCCAATTCATTCAAGTTCATTGAAGTCAAATAATTATTCTTTGAATTATCGAAAGTATTTCTTTGGTACTAGTCAAAGAAACATTTTTCTTCTCATGGTAGACATTGTTAAGTTCTTCTTCCTTGAATTGAAGCACGAGGGCCCTAATTCTAGCATGAAGTCTTGGAGAAAGAATTTCTAAACTCCACTTTCCGTACCCTTATTCAATTCCAACTCTCATTGTCGCATAGATGCTCAGCTACGAGCCCCGGCGAAACTTGTTGCTAGCAAAGTTCCGTTCCATTGTCCGCTTCGAAAGGATGCGGAACGGTGTCGTTCCGACTCTAATTCCTGTTCCTGGTCTCGGTACATCGAGATACCTCCGAACGTGTCCTGGGATGAAAAGAAGTAGGTCCCCGGATGAACGCTCGGAAGGAGGCGGTACACAGAATTGAATTTCATTGCTCGGCAAGTGACGTCGGCGTATGTCAAAATTGAATTTCATCGGCCAGTGCCCAGGAAGGTCTTCCATTCAGACGGATGGCCAGACGCGAAAGCGAGCGTGGACGACTCTGGAACCGGAAGCAATAACGCGACTCCACCGTAGTGGGAAGCCATTATCGTCGAACGTTCCGGTAATGCCGGAAAACCCTCGACACTTCCACGGCACCGGGAACAGGATTTCCCAGGTTTCCAGGGCGATTGCGATCGGCTCATTGCACCATTAAATGTACCCGCAAATTGAACACCGCAAGGTGTACGGAAGAGTCCCCTACGAGAGACGATCATGAGCCCGGGAAATGAGGAAATCACTCCTTGTCATGACACTTCCTCATTCACTGTCATAAGTTGAAAGAACTGTGACGTTAGGATTGGAAATTCGGAATAAAAGAGACATCAGAATAATTTTCTTGGGACGACTATAAAATATGGTTATTACGTGAATGACTGAATATTTTATTGACGCGATAAGTTTCTTTAATTTATTACGTTTGGTCGATTATGTCACGTATTACGATATCTCGTACCGGTCAAGTACTTTGGTACGTTTAACCAAAATGTCAGGTTAATTGACGAAAATCTTTTCTGAAATTAACAGCACGATTTAAGGAACCATTTAACCGGTCAAGTGAACCATATTTACCCAATCAAAATGCTTTCTAAAATGAACAAAATACAATTAAATTTGTTCGATAAAGAAATGTCTTCCGGGCGTGTCAAGTGGACATGGCAGTTCTTTTCTGAATCATTCCCTAAAGGGTATTTGACAAAAATCACATACTCCGATATCTATTTGTTGTCAAACCCTACAGTTGTCGAAAGCACTAACTCTTGACCAGGACGTGACGAACAGAACAACAAACAATTCGTCTCCGACTCGCCAATCACCTCGCAATAGTAAAAAAAACATATCGTCGAATATCGTACATTTTGTAAATATTTAACAGACATTTGAAATATTTGCAAAACATTTATTTTAGAATATTATCTCTATAATATTTATATAATATTACCTCCATGTGTTTTCATAATATTTTTCTACCAGATATACAAAACATTTCGTTTCATTTTAATACAAGTATTTTTTAAATACTATCTACCTAATACATTATAAACGTTTTAAAAATATTTAAAATCAAAATTACACGTTCCGCTCCCATAATGAAATAGCGGAACGAAAATATTAGAAATATTTCTCGCGTTTTTTGATACCAAAATGAAGTGTTCGATAATAGTCGTGAAGTAAAAAATGTATTTTTATTACATGTTCATGAATTATTGAAACTAAATATGTCATAGAGTTCTTTCACAAATATTTCAAATATCGTCGAATGAAATCTATAAGAAGTCTTAAAAAATCTGCCGCTTGAGATATTTAGCAAAGATTACAAAGAAATATTTATAAATGATTCTATGCTACTAGGGAACGGTTAATTTCCTAAATTAGCGCGGGGTAATTTCGGAAATGAACGGTGGCTTTCCGCCGCCATTTTGCTTTCGTCTGCGCAGGTCCAGCAGGACGAGCCGTCGGGGTGCAAAGACGCGTCCAGTTTTTGCGGATTAAGGGACCGCAAGTATCCCGACGCCCGTTCCATGGGATATCCATTCGATCGGCGACCTCGACAAGGGGTGGACACCCTGGCTCAATTCCTCACGGGGAATATGGCTGTCTCCGAAATCTCCATCCGATTTGCCGACACCATCATGCCAAGGACGCGTTCCGGGAGCCTCAGCAACGCCCTCACCTTCTCATAAAAATCCCATCGATCCCGAAACCCGCGACCAGCCATTCGATTCGAAATCTGGCCGCGAAACTCGATCCGCCAGAGCGTTATGCTTGATACTTCTTTTAACGGGTTCCCTTCTTATCGGCAGTTAGTTTTACGGCATGAAGAAACGTTCCGGTTTGCATTTTACTACCATTTCCGTGGCGCAGAATAGGACGCCATAACCTAGACTCCATGAAGTCGCGAGGAAAGAACCAAGAGAGGATTCATTCGAAAGAATTGATTAATCGCTCGCGGTTTTAGTACCATGGACACGTTAAACATCGAGCTGAGTTTATCTCTTTGTTTATGTCGCGCATACCTCTGTTTACCCCACAATTTCAATGTTTATACCGGCGATTCGGCAAAATCATCAGCGCCTTTAACGGCGAGTTCATCAATGGTCATTTTTAATCATGCTTAACGTCTCATCGGAGTCTAGAGTCCTAAAACGTAACGATTAGTTTAGAACCTTGCTACAGGATAATTGTTTATTAAGGTATCTCCCCGAGCAGCAGCTTTTTAAACGAAGCGACATAGCGAAGTTAATTATTGTTACCGCCGCAATTAACGCAGCTGGACCAGGTGTATCGATTTCGACCCTGCAACGCACTACAATTGGCTAATGGGATTGGTTATTGATTATGGACCAGGAAAACGACCTCGGCGCGGAATTTGACTGGACTTCCCGGAAATAATGGGAATTCAGATTGATGACAAAATTGTATTACTCATTGTATCGAAAATTATCTGTATGTTCGTCAGTAAACAATTAATGGCGTATATGACAATAATGGCGCTTTTCTTTTCCCGTTTCCACCGTTTCTGGGGCAGAGGGTGGGGCACGATGTCTTTCGACTTCGTGATTTCTGTTTTCCCTCTGCAGGATCCCTCCCAAATGTTTCGAGGACTGCTCGTTGGGCGAGTGTACGTATGTACCTTAAAGGGGACACTGTCCTCTCGGAAAATATTTGCTCTGCGCCTCCCCAGCTCGGAAGGCGGTCCATCGAGCGAATTTATTCCCGACACAATCTCGTTACGTTGATCGTCCGCGTACACATTCTCCGCGGATGAAAGTTCCCTCCCAAGGGGCAGCGGTGATGGTCGACTTTTTTCATCCGAGCTGACGACTTAGAAACAGGAAATAAAAGTCCCTCGCTTTAAACGCTAAGCGACTGGACTCAGCGATTCAATTTCGAGGGGGAAAGAAAATTCAATTTCCAGCGCCGTATTGTGCCCACGAGATGTCCGAGCGGCGACGGACTCTTTACGGAAAATGGACATCCGATCGCGATTACTAAATTGTCCTCCGGTCACTTAACACATTCGCGATTGCTCACGTGAATTCACGTCTTTTTCAGGTTGACGTTGACGTGAATTCACGTCTTTTCAGTTTTTGACGTTGACGTGAATTCACGTCTTTTCAGTTTTGACGTTGACGTGAATTCACGTCGTTTTAAAGTTCTATTTCTGGTTACCGCTGACGTGAATTCACGTCTTTTCAAGTTCTACTCCTGAGTGCCGCTGACATGAATCACGTCCATGACGATACACGATAAAAGTTTGCGGCAACCAATTTCAGAATTTCATTATTTTCGCCGGTACTCAAAATTTGAAACGGGAAAAATTTGCCGGTCGTGAATGTGTTAACACATTGTTGACCAGTCACGAGGTAACTCGTGGCGGAACGACTAACGTTCTAAAATTGCCGATTAACAAGGTGTTAAACTCGAGTCTCGATGAATGTCAGAATGGCGCACTTGTCGAGGATCGAAATCGATGGAGTTCGGTTTCGTTTGACTTTTTCCATCGTTCCGGGGGGTCAGTTCTTTTGACAATCGCAGAATGAAGTGACCCAGTGACGGAACACATTCCGGGATAATTAATAGCACGACTAATTGTCAATTAAGCGAGTCGAGTCGGCGACCTGGTTCCTTTCACGAGACGGCCGCTAAATGGGAGAGGAATCGTTCGTTTCCATTGGTTTCCATATTCGGACGTACTTATTTATTCTCTCGTTATTTCGAGCGGTGCCGGTTGGCAGGATTGAATAGAGTCGCGAAGCGATTAAAGGATCGGGTCTAGAGCGTGAAGTTGGGCGCGGACGCCATTACAGTGCGGATATCCACATCAGAGCGTCGGCGACGCCTCTAAGGCGATGCCGCGTAATGAATGGCGATCAAAGGACCCGGCTAAATGCTAGATTATATTTAAATGAGCTTTCCGCCCCGAAACCGCCCCGCCGGTTTTCAGCCGAGCTCGACCGGGTGTCGAGGGTTTTCGTTCCGAAGAGCCGGAAAAGCGACGCCGAAAGGTCGGGTCGCTTCGCGGCTTCTGCGGCTCGCCGCGAGTGACGCTGCGATCGGCAAGACTCGAGGACCAGAGTGGCTCCGAAAGCGCGGCGTGACCCAATTGAACTCGAGCTAATTATTCCGACTTTCCGCAGGCCCCTTGGAAGCGAATTCGCGGGAAGGTGTCGAAAATACCGTCGTTTAGAAAGGAGGAAAACAACGTTCGATCCGCTGCTGGGAATAACAATGGCGACTTATGTACAATTTATTTCGGCATATTGACTTAAGGGATTTTAAAAAGCGTGTTTATAGTAATATTTTGGATCAGCAGGATTTAACCTAGGTAATTATTAATAAGATTCGACCTAGATCGCGGATAATTTTCCAAAACTTTCACTGCTTCCATGTCGGACTTTAGAGTCGGACAATTAAAGAAGATGGGAGCGTTAATTCGCAGCCTGCATCGACCACCACGAGAGGCGCTGCGATCGGGATGAAGCACTCGAACGGCGACTCGAGGACCAGAGTGGCTCCGAAAGCGCGGCGTGCCCCAATTGAACTCGAGCTAATTATTCCGACTTTGCGCAGGCCCTTCGGAAGCGAATTCGCGGGAAGGTGTCGAAAATACTGTCGTTTAGAAAAGAGGAAAACAGAACGTCATCGGGTCTTCGATCCGCCGCCAGAAATAACAATGGCGACTTATGTACAATTTATTTCGGTACATTGACTTAAGGGAGTTTAAAAAGCGTGTTTATAGTAATATTTTAAATCAGCAGAATCTAACCTAGGTAATTATTAATAAGATTCGACCTAGATCGCGGATAATTTTCCAAAACTTTCACTGCTTCCATGTCGGAGCTTAGAGTCGGACAAGTAAAGAAGATGGGAGCGCATTTCGCAGCCTGCGTCGACCACCACGAGAGGCGCTGCGATCGGGAAGAAGCACTCGAACGGCGACTCGAAGACCAAAGTGGCTCCAAAAGCGCGATATGACCCAATTAACCGAAGCTAATTATTCCGACTTTCCTCCGAACCCCCTCGATATGATCTTACGGGCTGAGGAGGACAACCACACAGGCGATAAGACTGACAAAAAGTCGGAAAGGTAAAACATGAACCAAGCTACAAATGAACTATTTAAATAATATTCCTATTAAAATCAGAACTACGCGTGTCAATATAGACTGTTCCATAATTTCGTCATCCAGAAATTAAATAGACAAAGTTCCAGATTGGCAGAATTCTGTTCTCCTCCAACGAGCATTGGAAAGATACTAATTAAGCGTCTGCAATTATGAAGTATGACTGCGCAAAATACAAGATGGCGTCGCCCCGAAATCCAGGAAATTAACAAAAGAAGACGTTCGACCAAGTTTCTGCCTAATTATCGCATAACCTGTTAACGAACCTCTCATGTACAATGGAACAGAATCGCTCGGCCAGAACAAAGGATCCAGTTCCTGCATAGGTTATGTTGTCTCGAGGGAATTATACGACCGAACCAGTGCCGATCGATCGATCGCCGCCCTGCGGTCTTCATCGAAACTGCATCTAGTGGATGGATATCCATGGACTTCAGTGATGCGTTATTAAGCGGATCCGAATGTGGCTCGAAATGTAACTCGTTAATGGAAGCGAATACGAAACTAATTGCAATGATTATGGGATTTTTCAAATTGCTCAATACTTATCCATTAAATCCATTTTGAATTCACTTTACGATCCACCGCTAAGCCAGGCTAACTGACAATATTGCCTACGAAATTAGTTCCCTTTGCAGGGAGATTTTTTTCATCAAAGTTTCTTTTCTGTTTTTTTTTTGTTTTTTCTATCGACTAATGGAAAACAGAGTGCTTGAAAATGAAAGAAACTCCGCTCGCTTTGTGTTCCTTTCATTTGCTTGGTATCATCGCTGTGGTTTATCCGTTCCTTCGGTACGTGCAACAAAGGTACGCGGATTCCGCTTTTTTATTTGTTTCGCCAATACTAACTGAAGTTGCCGCTTTGCTTTGGACCATCTAACAACGTGGGCGAAATTAATGCAAGGTATAAAATTGCTGCCGCATTATCGAAAATCGTCCTCATGTCTGGTTTGATAATAGTCTGGGGGAAATCATAATGGTCGTAATTGAAACTGGTTCTAAATGAAACTTCGCTTTGCTACAATTTACGATCCAACCACCGAACTCGCAGTTCAGGTAAGAAGGGGCCTGCAAAAAATTGGCCCTACGCGTTTAATGGAAATATAATTACTTTTCGGGTGGGCGGCTATAAATTCCGAAGTTATTGCCTGAAACTATGTAGAAACCGCGAACGAACTTCCGCGATTAATGTCGCCGTCCCATCCGTGGCCTCGCCGACTCGTTTCCGGTTCGCTTCGCGTATTCTTCGTCCGTGAAAAGCCGCACAGAATTTCTGACATTTCCCTGGGCATTTGCAAGAAGGATCGAGACAATTTTTCCTCTCGTACTTTTTTTTAGTTTCCCCTCTTTAGAGGGATCCCTCGCTGGGAACAATTTAACGCGATATTCCTCGAAACCGAAGAAAAATTCCTACTCCTCATAATTTTCGCCTTTTCTTTTTAGGTCTGCAACCCTGAAAAATACATAACATATAAAAAATTCGACGTATACAATTTATTGATAAATTCAATATTCATATATTCCTCGAAACAGAAGAAACATTCCTACGCCTCACA